TCTCATAGAAAGGGTTTGCAACTCTGAGTTTCCAGCTCTGATCATTTGCTTTCACCTCTGTTTGGCCTCTCAAACACTAAGATCCCTTTTGGTCTAAGCTCTAGGTCAGCTTCCCCAGAAGCACATCTTCCCAGATGTCTCCTCTGAGCTGAAGAGTCCTTGCTGGGGTGCTTTTCTTCACTGTGGCTGTAAACCCTGCTTCTGGGCCTTGCCGCTTGGAAGGACATTTGTGCTTCCTGGCCAGGGCACAGACTGGCTCCAGTCCAGACCTCTATGGCTAGTGCGTGGTCACTCTGACTAATTCTTTGGACTATACTGTGTTGCTCACAGATTACTCCTGGCCCTGTCTTAGGGTTTAGGGGCCTGAGCTTTGTTCCTACCCCCTGTTCAGGCTGACCAGGAACGAGGCCACTCTTTCCCCTTTTCCCCCTCAGGACTCCTAGCACTTTACAGGCTCCATGACCCTGCCTGGCCTTTAACCCTGCTGTCCTTTCCAGATGGAGTGGTTTCAGGATTGTTTCTGGAATCCAGCTGCCTGGGTTTGAGGCTCAGCTCTGCCTCATACATACTAGCTGTGTGAGACTGTGGGTTAGTTTTTTACTCTTGCTGAGCCTCAGTTTGCATACTTGTCAAACAGTGTCATATGAGCATAACCTCACCTAGTTGTTAGGTTAAGTTAGGAAGACTTGACAACTGAATGATCAAGTTCATATCAGAGAGTTAGGACATGGCCAGTACTTAGAAGCTCTCAAAAGTAAGCAGGTGATGTCAGAGAGTGGCCTAGAAACCTGGAGTCACATCATGCCTGAGCTGGAGGGAGCAGGGGAAGGTGGAAACTGAGGCCCACGAGGTCCTGCAGAGAGGTTACAGGGGAGCTGTTCTGCTCCCCAACTCGGGCCTCTGAGCTGCAATGGCCCTTCCCCCCTGGGCTAGGTGAGGAAGCAAGCCATAGTCTGGCAGGCTGAATGTGTGAGTTTTTCAAATGGCTTTGACTTTTGAGTCCATTAGTGATTAATTCAGAGTTCCATTTAGAGCTGGCTGATCCATATTTGGAGGAGGAGAACATCTTGTGGCAGCCGAGATGCAGCTACGATTCATCTGTGGGCAGCCAGCCACTCAGCAGCCTGAGAAGGCATGAAGCCCTACAGCACCCCTCTCCAGAAGTCTGTCCAGAGGGGCTTTCACCTGGGGCAGGGGCATGGACCCTTTGGAGATGGGCAACACAATTGGGAGAGCCTGGTTTAGGGTTCAACCCCCTTTCCCACCTCTTCTCAGCTGCATGCATCTTGGCCCCTCTGGGCTTCAGTTTATGCAACTACAGTTTATCCACAAGGAGTTTATACAGGCAGTAATGTGTTTAGGTGATCCAGCACATGAGAAGAGGGGGTGGCATGGCACTTGGAGGGGGAGGTTCCTTTTTTTCCCCCTGGCAGTCCTGCCAACATCTTCCTCCTCTGAGCTCCCGCTTTAACACCTATCACTGTGTGCTTTGGGCAGGTTATTTTACCTCCAGAACCTCAATTTTCTTATCTGCAACATGGAGACAATGGGCTCTTCCCTGCCAGGCTATAGGACAGGTGACTTGTAAACTGTTGGTGAGAGTTACAGCACATAGTGGGCATGTCCAGTGTTCCACCACAGGAGGGCCCACCTGAGTACAGGCCAAGAGGTGTGTTGTCTTAGAGAACTTTTTTAAATTAAGAAAACCCATTAAAAGTTGGAGTACCGGTGTGGTGCTGTGTGTTAATGTGCCAGACTGCAAAGCCATTCGAACTGCAAGGTCGGTGGTTCAAGCTCATCAGCTGCTCCTAAGAAACCCTATATGGGGTCATTATGGGTCAGAATCAATTTGATGGCACTTAACAACAACAACATTAAAAGTTAGTCTTTTTTTATGATCACCTGACACCAATATTTCTAACAATGCCATTGATAAAATACCCCTCTGGCTGGAGCAGAGCAGGCCCAATGCACCCTGCCTATTGGCATGCCTCTGGACACTCCATCAATGATGCTTTCCTTGCCTCCTTTCTGCCCTGAAGTTTCCCTCTCATATCTTCTTAGGGCAATGACTCCCAAACCCCACATCCCTTCCACGGCCTGGTTTTCATTCTTTCACAGACTGACTCAAGAGGTGTGTCTCTAGTGACAGTTCAGTGCCCCTACCAAGGCCAACATAGTCATGATGCTACCCCTGAATCATGTCAGGACCTTCTCAAGAATCAGCACAGGCCCATGGGACAGAGTTAGGACCTGAACTGAGATCTGCCTACTCAGAGAGGCCAAACAACTGCCTCACGCCACACAGTGGTAGAGGGATCAAGATTTAATTGAGTCTGCCTGGCTCTGCATCCGTCATTGTCCCAGCAGGAAAGTCTGTGGCATGTGCATCTGGGATCTTTGAAGATACTTTCTACTGAAGGAATTATTCACAGAGACTGAGGAAAACCTTGAGGAATGTTGAGGCACCCAGGGACTAGTTATTCCTGATTCCTAGTCCTAAAGGACTCCTGGTGTGGTGCTGTCGGATAAGCACTGGACTGCTAATCAAAGGGTCATGGTGCAAACCTACCAGTCATTCCTGGTTCAAACCCTATACAGGGTCACTATGAGTCAGAACTGACACAACAGCACTTAACAACAACAACAAATCCTGAAGTAGGCTGCCTACAAGTGGTCAAGTCCTTGACTACTAGCAAAAGGTTAGCAGTTTGAATCCACTCACAAGCACCTTGGAAGAAAGGCCTGGCAATCCACTTTCAAAAGGTCACAGCCTTGAAACCACCATGTGGCAGATTTACTGTGCACACAGGGGTCATCATGAGCCAGAACTAACACTAACAACAACCTTCCTGAAGTAGACTTCTTGGGTGATGATACACATAGCAAATGGTTAGTTTTGAGGTGCCCAGTTAAGAGCCGTGGAAACCACTGTTTGACAGGCAGGACACAGACTCTGCCGGCAGGTACTGAGGCTGCGAGGGGTGAAGGGAAATCATGCTACCTCTCTCATCACCTCTCGTCCCCTAGAAGCCAGAGGGAGAGGAGCCAGGGAGGCAGGTCTGTAGAGACCAACCTTGCAGGGAACAGAGCAGGGGTCTGGGTAGGGCAGTAGGCAAATCAAATAATGAATGAGCTTATTTTCTTTCCAGTCCCCTAAGGCTGGGATCTAAAGCACGTTTTGTATCCATGAGCTGTAAAGAGATAAATGGCTAGGTGGGAAGTAGAATGTGGTTCTGAGTTTCCCTGGTGTTGGGCCTTGATGGGAGGGACAAATCTACCTCCAAATCTCCAACCATAGAATCACCCTCCAAAGAAGTTTTGGAGAGTGCTGTTCCATTGTGGGGGTCGCAGTCAGTGTAATGAAACAAACTGTGTATGAACTGTTGACTAGAAAACTAATTTACTCTGAAACTTTCACCCAAATACAATAAAAAGTTTCAAGAAAACACCTTCCAAATTCCTCCTTTAGTCCTGGGTCCCTAAACCTCATCAATCAGAGGTGATTTTGGTTAACAAGCCTCCAATTTTAGTATTCTAATATCCTGTGAGTGTCCCAGGAGAGATTGTTAGTCACTCACTCCTGTGTATGAATTAGTTCACTGAGATTGCCTGCCTCCTAGCACTCAGCTGAGATTAGAAACTTACTTGACTGGAGAAGGGAGAGGGATAGGGCAGGGGGGAAGAGAAAGAGGTAATATTAGATCATGAATGACCAGATGGCAATAGCAGGGGAGAAGGCCTCCACCTAGGGGTGTCGAAGTCTAAGTTCTAGACAGAGGTCACAATGGCATGTGGGGTTTAGGAGAGGGACACAGGGAGATGGGAAGGCTTGGGGGTCTCCTCCAAGGGCAGGTATAATACAAACACTCTTACATGCCAGGCACAAGCTGACATTTGATACAACCCCTTCCTTTCATTTAATCCTCATTAATTTGGGAAAGGAGATTATTACCTCCATTGTAAAGATGAAGAGACTGAAGCTCCTCTGGTTTTAGTATTTATGCTCATGATCTCAGAGCTACTAAGTGGCAGAGTCAGGATTTGAATGTAGGTCTGTCTGACACCAGAGACTGTGCTTGTAACCAGCCTCCCACCACACACACAGCCCATGTGCCGGCACACACATACACACATACATACAAGGCCCTTCACAGTTAGGTGAACTCCGTCACAGTCTTCCAAGAGGTGACATAATCACCCTCTTTCTGGATGATGAAACTAAGGCTCAGAGATGTGAAGTGAGTTGCCCAAGATCACACAGCCCCACCATGGCAGCAGAGGACCAAGTGTCTGGGTCTTAGGCCATTCGCTCTTCTCCACTGGCTGTTTTGTCCACTGGTTTAACAGAGCCTGCAGGTGGATGGGAACCTGTGTCCAGGGTGGGTGTGGAGGGACAGAAACTGAGGGCTCGTTTCCTCTTGACCTCTGGCAGAGTTCCCTCCCACCCTTGTCCTCTCAGACAAGTGCTGTCACTTACAAGTACTATCCCCTAGACTCAGGGTGGGGCTCTGCAGACAGAGACATGATTATAGGAACAATTAGAAAGATTTCTCAGTTTGCTTCCAAGGGGGCGTGGGTGGCTGTGTGGTTTGTTTGGTTCTAATCCTAGCTCTGCCACACCCACCTGCAGCCTCTTTTCTTCTCTGGGATGAGGGTGGCTGGGCAGAGGGCCCAAGACGGTCATTTGGCTCCAGATGCCTCTAGTGGTTTCTTGCTCTGTGACAGAGACGAACTGAGTGCTCTGACACCCTGTGACTGATGCTGGGGGGTGTGTTCTAGACCCAGCACATCCCTGTGTCTTTCCTTACCCCTGGGCCACTTCTGCACTGCCCCAGTGGGGGATCTAGCCCAGTGCTGGCCACCCTAGAGCTTCGGGGATGATTGTGGAATCATTTACACTTTTTTGAGTATCAGTCAACTCCTGAGTCTCCCTTCCCCAAAGAAAGGCCATCAGGGCTGGGGGATGTACTGGTCTCATCATGCCCATCTCTTCTCAGCATCCATGACACCTTTCTGAAGCTCTGCCCCCCGGGGAAGTACTACAAGGAGGCCACGCTGACCATGGACCAGGTCAGCTCTCTGCCAGCCCTGAGGGTGAGACCAGGAGGCAGGGTGGGCTGCGAGTGGGAATGTGGAGGGCACAAGGTGAATGAGGAGGGGAGTGAATGAGGCAGTGAGGGGAAGCGTGGCTTTCAGTGCCATTGGGTGGGTCATCTGGCAGACTCACCCTAGGGGACTCTTGCACCTCCAGACAGGGGGCTGGCTGTCACAGCTGCCAAACACCGTCCACATGCACCTGGTCTCCATCCTTGTATCAATCTCAGGAGGCAGGACAGGTGTGATAACTCTTACTGCTGCTCAGGTGAGAGGGGCTCAGTACTGGGGAGGGGGTCTCCTTGCTGGAAGGGGTGAGGTCAGGACTCAGCTAGAGGTTGGCTGGTCCTGCTGATGCATCCTCCCAGGCCTGCCTGGGATTCTCTTTGAGCCTCAGCTTGGCAGGTTCACTTGACCCTTCACCCCAGTGGTCCCTGCATCTCCTTCTGCTTTCTTCCTCTCTCCCCACTACTATGGCAAGTGGGAAGGTGGGGATTCCCCCACAGGACCACTGGGGCTTTGGGTAAGTCAGGGTGCTGCTCCTTCATGACACATGCCAGCCCCTCCTCAGCCTTCCATATTCTGCTCAGGGTCCACAGTGGCTTAGGACTATGGACTCAGTCCCTGGAAGGGCTCAGACCTTCTTCAGTGTCTTCCCTCCGAGCAAGACATGAAGCCCTGGGCCTGTTCTTATAACCTGCCTTCTTCTGTCTTCCGGGGTGACTGTGGAATAAAGGACGCTGCCTTTCTTTTCTTGCTCCCCTTTTTTCAAATCTCCTTTCAGTTTAGACAATCTTTCCTGAGGTAGAAATTCCTGTTAAACAAGAACAGGCACTTGAGTTGAACTCCCAGGCTCCCTTTCCCCATAATCCCATATAACCAGGGCACACACATACACCCTGCCATGACTGTAGGCAAGTTCTGCACAAGCCATTTCTTGGGCCTGTGTGACTTAGTGGGTGGAGTGGTGGAGGTGCTTGGGTGTTTCCCTGCACTCTTGACCCTGACCTGTAGTATTTGTCGAGCACCCTCTCCTTTCCCTATCCATCCTTTAGGGACAAATCTTTGAGCTTTGTCCCTGTTGTGGAGCTTAAGAAGAGGCCTTGCCCTTCTCCCAGGACAGCCTGAAAGAGCCCAGAGGATCACATTAAAAGGACTCCCAAATCACTCCTGAGATTTTAATTAAAAATTGTGCACTGCAGAGAGAGGCAATGTCAGGGTAACAAATCACAGCAGAGTCAGGCTCCCCTACTTTTCATTCAGATCTCAGCAGAATCATGGTCTGACTTTGTCATTATGCAGTGAGAGCCCGCCTTCCTTTCTGTCTGGAATGAGATGGGCTCTGGGGGCTGTGAGCATCTCTTGGAAGACCACTGGGGCCAGGGGGCTCATGAGGCAGAAATGAGGAAGGGGTTCTTTCACCAAATGGCTGTGTGGCCCCTCCTAGATGGCAGGTCTTGTAGGAATGCAGAGACAGAAAAAGAGAAGAACACAAAGCTGGGGCTTGGAACAGAGGCAGAAACAGAGAAGGCAAAAGAAGGAGAAGGAGTGTGTATGTGATGGTGGGGTGAAGGGTAGCTGGAGAAACTGGGTAGTGGAAAGGGGGACTCCCTGGAGATATGAAACGGTTGGAGCACATGCCTACACCAGAGCCCTCCTACTTCCCCCCTACCCCCACAGCCACACATCCACACACAGTGCACACACATGTGCTCAAACATGTATACACAGAGTGTCTGGTCTCCTCTCAGACCTAAACTCCCCACTAAAGGACCTGGAATGAGGGGCAGCCCAGTGAGATAGCACTGGTAGGGTGCTAACTTGGAAAATTAGTGAGCTACTCGAGTTTGCCATGCATACATTCATTAAGCATGGGATAAGTACTGGACTACTAACCACAAATTTGGTGGTTTGAGCCCACCAGCCACTCCATGGGATAAAGATGAGGCCTTTTGCTCCCACAAAGTTTTAAAGCCTTGAAAACCCTATACAGGGTCACTATAAGTCAGAACTGACTCGATGGCACTTATCAACAATAACATGATAAGTCACATAAGTAAGACATTCAGTTCGAATCAGAGAATCAGAAATTAACAATTAACAATGACAATGTTACTTCAATGGTTAAAATACAAATCTTTAGACTCTGGGCTTTTACCTTTAATGAGAAGTCTTAGGAAGAAGGCTTGAGCTTGGCAGAGGTCCCTTGTAGATGGGGCTCAAAGTTGGTGGCAGTGGACAGAATCTCAGTTCCATCTCTGCCTTCCCTCATTGAGTGAGCAGAAATGTAGGGTTTGTATGTGGATTTGTCACCTTGGCTATACATAACAAGGGCCAGTGTGACATCAAAGGCTAGTATGTTATGTCTTTTCTTCAGGGTTAGATAATAGCCAGATGATGTATCTTCTCTTCAAGGTTAGAGATTAGAGAGTTCTTTCCATTATGCTTTCTTCTATCACTGCATGCAAGATCAAGGTCAATGTGAACTTAAAAGTTGTTTAAGTTCTTTACATACTTCATATGCTTCATATTTTTATGTGTAAGTTCAGAAATTTTCTAAATAACTTTCTTATGACTTACAGGTTTCTAATGACAAATACCATAGTTAATGTTAGAGGACCACACAAGGGTGTATTTCTATTTCTAAGTTCATATTATGTGTACTTGGACTTTTGGTGTTGGCGTGGTAGGATCAACACTTGACTGGAAACCATAAGATCGTCAGTTCAAACTCACCACTCTGCTCCTCAGAAAACCTATACAGGGTTGGTATGAGTCGGAACAGACTTGACATAACACCCAGGATGGTACGCACTGTCAACATCAGTGTCAGCACTTCTGAATGCTAAACTGGGATGAAACTTGGGCACTACCCAATCAAGTCCCCATCAGCTACTCCCTAGCCTGGTTTCACTGATTGGACCCTAAAGCCCAGAGAAGGAAGTGACTTGCTCAGGGCCCTATGGTGAGGAACTGGAAGTCAGGGGCTACACTTCCCATCAGGGATTGGCCAAGGGTAGTGTGGAAGTAGTTGGGTGATCCCTGTGGCCCAGCATTCTACAGAGACTGAATCATCTTAGTTCACAAATAGCCTGTCCCATCAGGACTTGGGGCTATGTTCTCAGCACCAAAGGAACAGGAGAGCTGGGGTCTAGTCCCACCTCTGACCCATCCCACATATGTCACATCTGCCCTCCAAGTGTTGGTCTCTTGGCCTGAAAAACAGTGTGTACACCTGTGGTGTATTGGGGACTCAGCTAGGGAATCAGATGGGTAAGCACAGCATCGTCCTTACACCATTTTTTTTTTTTTTTTTACATTTTTTATTGTGAATTGAGTGATAGTTTACATGGAAGAACATCTTTTTCACACTCATCCTATCATATTTCGTTTCATTGCAATGATTACAATCCCCTCCATGCATCATCATTCAATAGTATTTGCTTCTATTCCCTCTGATTTTTTTTGGGGGGGTGAGTGGGGGGAGTATGTACACAAAACCACTCAGGAATATATAATCACTTAAACAACCCAAGGGCACATTCTGCAATCCTGCCTGCTGGCTGCTAGCACACAGCCTTTCTCTTTCCATGAGTCTGGAGTCCTCAGCTGATCTATCTCTCCACATCATCATCTCTGCCTCCATCTCTGGTGTCACTGCTTCTCTGGATAGTGTCCCACATTCCACTCACGCTCTTCTCCTTTAATAGTCCTAGGGTCCTCTGTTTCTGGAATGTAATTTTAACTACTCCCTCCTTTTTGTCACAAAACTTCTACCTTTACAGTTGTGACAATCGCAATTAGTCATGATAACAATTATTCACTATTGAATTGTAAGAATCTTGTCCCCATCTCCTTTCGCCAGACCTGTCTAGACAAAAACTATTCAGTGGGGATTCTACCCTTCACTGCACATTCTGAAACTAAACTGCCTCTTCAAAACTTGTAAGTCAATCACCTCATGCCTTTATGTGTGCTTTTAGGGCTATATGTCTAAGTTGCCGTCCCTATCAATCCTGTATACAGAGGGGGTAGGATTGATCCTTGATGCCTTGCACCATTCTTAATGTTCCCCACTCACCAATCTCTCTCATTTCAGGGAGCAGGTGGGAGTGGGTGTAGGACACAGCAAAGCTGGAGAAAAACCTTGAGACCCTCCTGAAAATAACCTAGGTGATTGGCAGTCTGGGGGTTGTGGGCTCACCTATGGTAGCACACAGCTGTTGACCCCCTGCAGCCGTATTATAGGGCAGTGAGTGTGAAGGAGCTGAGTCTAGAACTGGGGCCATTTCTAAAGCACCAGACACTTGAGAACTTGTCCCGAGAAAAATGGGTGTGAACAGAAGCAGATCTTTTTTTAAATCAGTATGGCTTTAATTTTACTTTCTTTACATTTTCTTGCTAAGTGGCCTTTATCTTATTCTGTTATATACATAAAAACCAGTTCATTGTGGGAAAATACAGAAAAATAAAGATAAAAATAACCCTCTAAGCTCTGGTAGCGTAGTGGTTACGAATTGGGCTGCGAACCTTAAGGTCAGCGGTTCGAAACTACCAGCTGCTCCGCGGGAGAAAGATGAGGCATTCTACTCCCATAAAGATTTACACCCTTGGAAACCCTGTACAGGGTCGCTATGGGTCGGAACCAACTCGACGGCACTTAACAACAACTTAACAACAACACTCCTTGAAAGCAGTCCTGGTGTGGCACCATAGGATAAGCACTCAACCTTAAGGTTGGTTTGAATTGCAAGGTCATTGGTTCAAATTCCCCAGCTACTCCTCAGAAATCTATACAGGGCCACTAGGAGTCGGAACCAAATCAACGGCTCTTAACAATAACAGCAGCGCTGTAGGATAAGCACTGGATTGCAAGGTCGGTTTGAAATGCAAGGATGGCAGTTCAAACCCACCAGTCACTTACTGGAACCTATACAGGGTCGCTATGAGTTGGAACTTACTGGAAGGCACTTAATAGCCCAAAGACCACCTCACCACTG